TAGAGGTTTAGTACCTAAGCTTAGGTGGGGCTGTAATGTATATTCCCTATCCCCATATATATATATATATATATATATATATATATATATATATATATATATATATATATATATATATATATATATATATATATATATGGGAAAAGGGAATATACATTACAGCCCCACCTAAGCTTAGGTACTAAACCTCTTGAAAATACATTGTTTTACTATATAAAGATTATGGTTAATGGATTCACGATTAATAATTCAACATGTAAATTCAAGATCGACACATAGGGTTTAGGGTTTAGTGTTAAGGGTTTAGATTTAGGGTTTAGGGTTTAGTGTTTAGGTTTAGGGTTTGGTTTAGATTTAGGGTTTAGGGTTTAGATTTAGGGTTTAGGGTTTAGTAATGTTCACTTGGGTGAAGTAATAAACGATAATTAAGGAAAGAAAACAGGGATGGTAAAACGATAATGAAAGAAAGAAATGTTGTGGAAGATGATATATTTACCAAGTGAAACCAAACCGGGTATATCTAGCATGTTAAAACGACATATTTTAAAAAGTTTAGTACCTAAACTTGGGTAGGGTTGTAATGTATATTCCCTATCCCATACATATATATATATATATATATATATATATGCACACACATTACTATCATGCATAAAAAGTTGTTTTTGAGTTAAAATGAAAATAAGTTAGTGATTTGCTTTATATATATAAAGTTTGTGTGAGGAGATGTTGCGCACGTGTTTGTAAGTGGAGAAGGGAAGGAGGGACATCGAATGATAGGCTAGCAGCGAAATCAGAACCTATTTAATGTTTGCATATGAAAACTTTTGACATTAGTTGCAACAAAATTTTAATGCAATATTTTTCATTTACTTGGGACAAAATATACAAGGAAGCTAATGATTTGTTTGATTAAAATAAAAAAATGATTTCTTTATCTAATAAAATAAAATGGGCTCTTATGAAAATAAAGTAATTTTTTATAATGTTCATAGTACATTACTATTCCGGTTCATTATGAAGTATTTATGTTAAAAAATATGATTGGGGTTTTATGTTTAAAAAAATGATGTTAACATGATAATGATAAAAGTGGATACCTTCTGCAACTCAACAAAAGTTTGTTTTCCTATACACTTTTAAATATTTTTCCGTACAAATTAGGCAAAACTTTATGCCTAAAAGATAAAATACACCAAAAATACGAGATAAGTTTTTATGATGCAACATTCCATCCCAAGCAAGAGCCTTCAAGGTCTCCTTTAATCTGGACAACCAGCAAATTTCTTCATGCCAAATCCATCATATAGACCACCAATAGACTCATAGGCCATAAGCAATATTGGACTGTATCTCAATCAATTTCTGTCTTTGTGCCATTTAGTATATTTGCACCTATAGTGTCTCTTCAAGAAAATCTCAAATTTCTTTGTTTTTACTCCACTACTTTTATCCTGATCATTCTCGTACTATAATAAAACTACCTAAAAGTCATAAATTATAAGATTGAAGTGTTTAAAAGAAATTAAGTTGATAAACCAAAAAAAAAACTTCCCTGCTAATTCCCATGGCTATTCCTTACGAAAATGTCCCTCGTACCCGAACAGATGATAGAACCACTGAGCCCTGGCTTCACTAAAGAACTTCCCTGCTAATTCGTGACCAAAGATCCCCCAAGCAATACTCCTAAATGGATTCCGACAAGGACCCAGAACAATAACGGTACACACGGGACCCACTCCGCAAGATACGTCCATCTGAAGATTCATCAAAGACTCCTCGACATGCATAATGGCATATAACAATCGTTGATAACTCATACAATAGTAGAGAACCGAACCGAGATCTAACTCATTCAAAATCAATCAAAATTCCAAATAACCGACGCTCTGGCCCACAACCTCGGAAATAGACCACATCCCTTGGCGCTACTAAAAGCAAACCCAAGTATAAGGACTGAACTCACCGGACCCTAACGATGTTGGATAACCACCCCGTTGAACCCTGACCGCATACCTTCCCCATAATATCCCTGAACCCATCCTCGATCACAACCCAAAATAACGTTGAACGTTCCAAACCCACAAGAAGGAGAGCAACCTTTCACTAACCACTAATAATTCACGGTATGCAATTGACATATGACCTTTCTTGAAAATGCAACCCCAAACACAAGTAGAGGAACAATCCAAAGATACACTTACCCAAATCGATGCAAGATTCCAATAACAAAATGTAGATTAAACTGGACAGAAAGTAAGGATACATACCCGCAACATCGCTTTCTGGAGTCCCGAACTCTCCAGCCTGACACTGCAAAATCCGAATCCCCTCTGTTGGGGATCCTACCCTATCCTCTCGACCAATAGAGACTTGGAAAATTATGACATCCCCATTTTTACGGCCAGAAAAGACCGATTTTGTTTATGCTTTATAAAAATAAGAGTATCTCTGTTAATAAAAAATGTTGCGGAATTTGTTCCCAGAAAAACATGATAATCACGTTATCAAAGCATTTCTACAGAAATATATTTTTATTCACTTTTAAAACATTTGGGATGTCATCGTCAATATAGAAACATAAGCATAAACAGAACTTACATTAATTTACACTAGTGATCTACATCTCTTTTAAATCTTTCAGTGTAATGTGACTTCATATCAACACCTGTGATATAAATAAACTGAGTGGATCAGGTTGGGAAACCTGGTGAGTACATAGGGTTTTCAACCCATAATAATATGATTATTATGTTTAAACAATCAAACAATCAACTCAATTACCCATCCCCATTATCTTATTTATTCTTAAGGATCTACCCTAAGAATCAGCTATTTCTCATTCATTCATTCCTAGGGATCATCCTATGGAAACAACATGAAGTCCATTGTTGCCAATGACACATTGGTCAAGCGCAGCTGCTAATATTGTCACTTAGGCGCAACTGCTAGAATTGGGACATTTTCTATGAGGCACTTCTGCCGGTATTGACCTTTAAATGCTACTGTCATGGTCATAAGGCTCCCTATTAGGCGCAGTTGCCGATACTGTCCTTAGGGCGCAGCTGCTAGGACATTTACTGTAGATCTAAATCATCTACGGGTTGTGGTGCAGCTGCTAGTGCTCATCTATAGGGTACTACGTCCACTGCTGCCAATGTATACCTATAGGGAACTAGGTCCGTACTACTAATGTTCCTCTATTTCAGCTTTTATCCCTCATCATTCATCTACCCATGTTTTACCCAACATATTTTGTAGATATAAAATACTTTATACAATTTACATCATTTAAAACAGGTATAAAAATCTTTCCCCAGCATAGACAACAAGTATTCAGACAATATACACATATAGCACGTAATTTATATTAAAATACTTCATATCCATGTGTAAGATGAAAGGGACCATGCACTCACTTGAGTTGGTGGTGACTCACACTACTAGAAAAATAGCCTTTTACGACGCTCATTGCACGTCGTAAAAGGCTCAGACGACGCGCAAATGCGCGTCAAGGAAGGCCCTGTCATAAAGAGAGACGACGCGCTTTTGCGTGTCGTCTATAGACGACGCGCATTTACGACGCTCATTTACGACGCGCAATTACGACACGCGTTTACGACACGCAATGCGTATCAATGAAGGCCCTGTCATAAAGGAAGACAACACGCATTCGCATGTCGTAACCTTACGACACACGTGTTAATGATACGCAATGCGTATCAAGAAAGCCCCTGTCAAGAAAGGCCATGTCATAAATGAAGATGACACACATTTTTGCGTATCATAATTTTAAATGTTTACAAAAATATTATTTATAGATTTACTTATTTTCAAATTAAATTTGTATTTAATGTTTCATAATAGAAAATAAAATATCATATACAAAAAATAGAATCCATTGCATAAATTTAATGTCATACAATTATATATCTTACAATATATAGATTTGCATCCAATCTACTATGTATATCAAATTCCAACTAAGTAAAGTTGCATCTTGCCTTTCATAATTCTTTGAGACTAATGCTCCAAACAGCTGATTATATGGATAAGCAGTTGTACATTGGCCCATCTCACTCAATAATGACTTAGCCAAATTCAACTCCAAGTCTTTACTGCATGTTGTTGATAATGCTACAAGATTTAAATCAAGTGGCTTTATACTCCTTTCTTCCATCAACTTTACCTGATGCACAAAATAAACAGAAACAAAAAAAAACATTGTAGAGGAAGGGGTAATTTGGGAAAATGTGAGGGGTATAATATAATAAGAATGCAAATACTTAATACCACTTTCATGCCATCATGGAAACGTGTTGTCACTACTAGAAAGTAGAAACTAACTAAATCAGTTTTATATCGGTTATGATTGTATCTATTTTCAGTGATTTTGGATTTGTAACTTATTAAATGATTGTATCTATTTTCAGTTTTTTTTATCGGTTATGATTGTATCTATTTTCAGTTTTTTTATCGGTTATGATTATATATGTTCAGGAATTAGGAGACATTTTCAAGTTACATAATAATCTTTTTATTTGTAATTATTATTGCATCCATTGAATCTTTTTGGCTGTAATTTAAATGTATATATGTAATCATTTTTTGTTGTAATTTAATTTTGATCCATGTAATATGATTTTTTCAGTGACACTCAAGGTTGAATGTTTTAGTTATCATGATTATTATTATTATATCTTTTTATATATCTCAAATTTATAAAAAATATGGATTTTTTACCAAACGGATATCCATCGGGTTCCGCGTATCTAACGGGTTTTCTTTTACCCGGATCAATATGGAAACAAAAGTTGTATTTTATAAAATTACCCAAAATGATGAAAAACCAAAATATTTTGTTAAGTTATGATGTACCTCAATGTAGATGAAGTGTTTAGCTTTTTCAATAAGAGAAATGTAAGCTTTGTGAACGCTCTCTTCAACTTGAATCGTCCTAGCTGACCATTGACTCACATTCCTTAAAACCTACAATTGAGAAATGTAAAAACCAAAAAATCTAATCTAATAATATATTTAATCATAAATAAAAAAAAATACTTGACAACAACATGCAACACATGGACCAACTTGACCTGTTTCATCAGCAGAAACAACCAAGTTACCTAGCATATCTGGAGTTGAAGTTTAAGATGATTAGTTTACTTGGAGTTAGTTACAATTTACCTATTGTTGATTAGTTTCTTGTATCTACGCCTTTGTCTACCAGCTCCAACAGCCCTTATACACGTAAAGGACTTGAAAGAGTAAAACTTAAAGACTACATAGCCACTTACAGTGAAAGACAAAAGCCACCAGGCCAGCATCTCAGTGTACCAATCTATCATGACCACGACATAAACAAAACTCATTTTAATAAAACTGATTTCATTAAAATAACAAGCTAAACAACAATTCATTAATTTCAATTGATAAAACTTAATTCAAGGATAAAATAGATTTACCCGATATCAAAGGTCAAGTGTTCTAAATTTGCTTTGTACTCTTCAAGTAGGTTTTCCAAAAAAAGAAATCATTAATTTCAATGCACTTGTCAGTTTCTTTTATGTTAATGCTACCCGATGAGAGCGGTAGAATCATAACTAATGAATTCAAAGATAGTGTGACTAGAATATTATGATATGAGTTGATGAGAGTGCAAGTTACCATTTTTTTATTCCTTCAATAAGATCCTCACCACCCACCAAATCAGATTCTGCAGCTCTAGCCTTCTGCAACTGCTCCATCAGCAAACACAGCTACACGCAAGGCCTGCAAATAAAAATAGCTTACAAAGGAGAACCCAAATAAAACTCCAAGTCTCTTTAAATTAGCACTTGGTGAGATCACAATCCCTATGAGCATCAACTGCACATTAGGACAAAAGAGAACCCAAATAAACCTCAAAGACTAACTCATTTGAATGCACATAAGGAAATCTTGAATCACCAGAGGAAGAGGCAGATCTAATGAGATCACCAGACCAACAGTAGGAACGTATATGAGCATCAACTGCAACATCTTTCAGTTTTCCACCCCTGACCATAGATAACATAGGATACGAGTAAACAAATATAATGGTCTTGGTATTTGTATATGATTACATTACTTTATGGGATATTGTCAAGAAAACCGGTTCAGATTTGAACTCTTACCCCAAAATTTTCATTTAGGCTTCTAGTTTTATCCGTTGTTCTTACCTTTTAACACCTGTAAAAAGAGTAGAACTAGAAAAAAAACCCTATGGTACATACAGATGCAGTTACTCTATGCAACCAAACCAACCAATATTCTCTACATACATACATACAATACAAATACATATAGATAGATATAAATACCACAAGAAAGAATAATAATAAAATAAAAAACAAAACTTGGGGAAAGAAGGGGTTCAATCTTGAATGCATTGGATCTCTCCGATCATAATACGGTTGCTGGTAACCTTAAACCCAAGCAGAGTTGGTTCGATCTGTCTCCCCTTTTTGCCTTTCTTTTTACCACCACCACCACCACCACCAGTTTTGCTATTGTGTCCCTCTGTTGCACCCTCGAGATCTGGTGAGGGTGGCTTCCTAATAAGATGATTATTATTAATGCCACAGATGCATCACTCAATGATGACGTCCTCCTAAACCCACCACCACCTACCATAATCATCATATGTTTACCGTAGTTCTCTTTCTCTGAAAGTTGATTCCACCTCACATAACCCCCCTTCATGAGATGATGATGATGATGAAGGATGCCTCACCAATATATTTATATTATCACTACTACTACTACACCTTTTTGATCCCTTGCTGCATACAAACCCTCAACATAAGAAACCAAAACATATCAATTATCTGTTCCAAGATTAATAACTAAAATTACCTGTCTTGACCCTCTCCTGCTACTGCTGCAAAAGACCCAACCCTGTCATTGTACAAGCTTTTATTCCCACATGCTAATATCATATCACAAAACAAATATATTTATTTACTACGCTACGCATAAAAAACAAATACCATCATAAACAGGATATAAATTTACTAAAATTATTTGGCATTTCCCCATGGTCTATAGCAGCAACACCACCTTGTTGATTTTCTACGGCTACACGTATCATCATGTTGAAAAGCAAACCACCTGCATGAAAATTACACTTGACTCTCTTTCAGGCGTCCCATTGTTGAAAGCAAACCACCTGCATGAAAATCAAGAAATGAGACTTTTCTTCCCTAATTTTTTACGAATTTTCCCTTACCTGACAAATTGTGCAGAAACTAAGTTCTTGATCAGCAGATGAAACAACTTCCAACTTAGAAGACATAAATACCCTTGTTTACAAATAACCTGAAATAAAATCCTCTGATAACCCCGATCCAGCATTCCCAATCTGCTCACCTAATGCAAGAAGCTCCTGCATATACACAAAAGGTCATTTTCGTAATTTGACTAAAAAAGCAGCCAATCTTTGTATACCTCATAAGACATATGATCGATATCCATACGCATATCTCTATGATGATCAACTCTTCATCCATAATTAGAAATATCAAGCATTGCAACACCCTGTTATTAGAAAAAAAAAATAATAAAAGGAATTTCATGTTCTTGCATGATTTGATTATGAAGAGAGTAATATTTAATAATAATAATTAACATCTTCAGGAAGAACTCTTAAATGTGGAAAGCCATGTGGTCTTTCCAAGCTCGGTTAAAAGAGGGGTTTATGTAGAAGCTAGGGTTTATAAAAATCCACAGTTCCATTGAAGGAAAAAAAGTTAGAGCATCAATAGAGATGAAGATCGAAACCTGCTTGAGATCTGGTCGAGATAAATTGGACACAACAAAGAAATTCAACGCACTGTTCTTCAATGTCAAATAAATTGAGAATATGGTCTGATTCACCTGTCGTTCAATGAAATGATTTAAACAGAAGCCCTAATTTTAAAAGACGATAGCTATACTAAAAAAAGAGAGTCAACATGAGAAGTATCAAGAGGTTCATATTACCTTGGAGACGACTTGAGAAGTATTAATCAAAAGTTTCAAAATCTCTCTGCTACAATGGTTCAATCCTGCATTTTGATTTCGCCACAACCACCACAATGGTTTTGACTAGCGATTCAGTATAGGGAATAAACCATACAAAAGCTATCAAATAACCTTGGAGTGAAATTAAAGAAACCGTGAAGATTTTAGTGGATAGATGAAGAGCGATTTTAGTGAAGAGATGAAGAGCTGGGGAGGGGACGAAATCGATTTCTAACTGAAAAGAAAAATCTAATTGAATAGATAAACCTATTAAGGTAGCGGTCAGGGAGGTGAGACGGGACGCAATCACAGGTGTGGTGGAAGAGTCACATTCGTAGTCATCAGTGCGATGGAGGAGTCGCACACCCAATTGAGAGTGAATCGATTCAGTTATAAGTATTAGCTTATTGTTGGTCGATTTGTAATGAGGAAGGCCTGACGTCGTTGGAGGAGAAGTGACCAAAGGCGAAGCAAGGTGAATCATCCATTGTTTCAGAGCTAAGAGAGATGTGAGATTGTTTTCGTTCTTGAAAAAAACCCTAGCTAAAATGGTCACAACGAGTTTGTGGAATTTAGTATTTGGTGATGTTTTGGGATTTTGTTGTGCGAGAAAATACGAGTGGTTATGATATTAGGGTTTTTTGGGCATTGATCAGTGAGGAGAGGGAAGAACGATGGAAATAATGCAGAGGATGAACGAGATGTTTGATGATACTGAAGATGAAGATGAGGGACCTAGGGCTTTTTCTTGCTAAGTAGAAGAGGCGGGGGGATTAATTTTTAGGGTTCAATACGCGGGGGTAATTTTCATCGATTTCATTTCCCGCCTAAAACGCGTGTTTCACTTAAAAATTATAAAGCGACACCTTTACATGACGCACATTTTATGAAAGGCGCCCTCCGCATTTTTTTTTCTTTTCTGACACTAATTTTAGGGCGTGCACAAATGCGTGCCCTCTATCCTTCAAATTTTGCAAAACTGACATTATCTTTTAGGGCACTTGCAAATGCGCATCGTCTATCAGCGAGTGTCATTGTTTGCGCGTCATTAAAGGGCTATTTTCTTGTAGTGTCAACACTCGGATATCGCTTCAATACTCTCAAAACAATTTTCCTTCGATAAAACCTAATATCAATTCCACTAGGGTTTAGTCTAATGTCAACCGTGACTAATTAATAGTCTAGCTATTATTATTATTATTATTATTATTATTATTATTATATAAGCGTTAAATAACACTCAATATAACTCATAATAATAGCCCAAATAATTATTTTAAGGATCTAATAACATTACTATAATTATTTGAAAGCTATATTAAAAATTGCGTAAGCGTAGCTTACTTACAACAGATTTTAAAGAAAACCAGGCTTTGCTCGGAGCAGCATTTTCGAAACCGAAAGACCCTTTTTCTCGGGACTCCGGGAGCCTCGGGGCTTCCCTCGGGAGCTAAGGTATTTTTCCTAGGGTTTAGGGGGTTAAAATAGGTTAGAGAGAGAAAGTAAGTTAGAGAGAGAGAGAGAGTGGAAATGTGCAAGAAAGTCGACAGCCTTCGCTGCCTTTTATAGTGTGGGCCTTTGGTCTACGTTGGGCGTACCGGAGGTGGTACGCGGTGCGTTCGTCGGATAAGATTGCCAGATGGCGAGTCTTCGGTGGTGCGACGTGGGCAAAGCTGGACCGATGAAACGCTAGGCGTACGCTGTGCGTACGAGAGCTTGGACGAAGGGTGTAATGCGAGGGTGGCATGTCACTCATTCGAAGCGGGTACCGAGTTAGCGATGGAGGGTCTAGATTGTGCCACGTCATCGATTGAGCAACAAGCTTCGCAAATTTGAGTCTAAACTTTAAAAATTCGAATCTTTCGCATACGAGTTCCGTTTTCAACGTTTTTTATATCCACGTGAACGCGGGAACGTACTCTATAACTTTCGTTTAGACTCCGTCGGCTAATTTTGATTCTATTTTAAAAGTTACATTATTAACAGGCCGGGACAAGATTTGTCCGTTAAATTCTCATAACTTCTTCATCTGACATCTGTCTTCGCCCATGTTTTTCTCATTACGCTACTCTTAACGAGATCTTCGATTCCCGTTTAGGTCGTGTCAGCTAAAACCGCTCGATCTATTATTCGAATTTCGGGTTGTACACTGCTAATCCGAAACTTCGAAAAATCATAACTTCCTCATACGAAGTCAGATTTGGGCGTTCTTTTTTTGTATGTTCTCGGTTTAACATATACTAAAACTTTCGTTTAGATTGCTAAGGCTAAAAGCTGCTCCATCGTAAATATACTATTTCCGCTTCCCAGTGTCGTGCCGATTTTGCCGTAAAACTTCGACGGGCCATAACTTCTTCGTTATAACTCGGATTTCGGCGTTCTTTATATGTACGAAAACCTTGTGATATATTCTAAAAATTGGTGAATATTATTTATTCTAAATAATCTTTTGTCAAAAAGTCATTTTCGACCCCTATTGCCTCTAAATTGACTAGGTCGGATCTACGAGCGTTACAAAAATAGTCGGAGCAGGTGCACCCACTGCTCCTCCCTTCCTCTTCGGATATTTAGCTTTCTTGTGGCCCACCTGATAGCAACGAAAAGATAATGGGGTTGCCTCATGGGGGCAATCACTGCTGACGTGACCAATCCAGCCATACTTGTAGCATCCCAACCCCTTGGAACGGAAAACTCCAGCATGCCGTTTCCCACATGTTCTGCACTGACGCTGGATTTTACAGTCCCTCAATCGATCATCTAAAACCTTGGGTCTCTTACTGGGACCCTCCACTATATGTAGCTGGCATGACCCTCTCTCTCTCTCTCTCTCTCTCTCCCTCTCTCTCCAAGGTGCTCCAAATCAATCTCTTGCGGTCGGACTCTGGAAGTCATATCCTTTAGGGTCTGACACCCTGACACGCTCACCAGCTCACTCACCAATGGCTGAACCGCAACAGCTGGAACCACTTGTTCCTAAATATAGTCACAAACTCCTCCCAGCACATAGTTTCCAAATCAGAAAATGTAGTATATCGCATAATCAATTCCCATAAACTCCTTGTCGTTTGATATAGGAGTAGATCTAGCAATTAGTGTCATGAAAATGTGTCAGCCATGAATTTGACACGATACGATTACACGATGAGAAATAAGCTTTATCTCAATTTTTAAGATGTATTAGTGTCATGTCGTGTCTCTTACGGATTCGTGTCTTCGTATCTGAAATTGCCAGGTCTGTATAGGAGATTCAAGGCAAACCAAACCTTGTCTCTGATGGGGTAGGGACTAGTGCGGAAAACAACTTCCATCTCCTCAATCCAATGCAAACTCAAAATCCTGGTGGTCCTTCCATCGACTGGCTCACCACCTGAGTCGAGACCTAATCTTGAACCATAACCACCTCCCAAAGTGCTCATCTCTAAACTGAAAAACCATAAACCACCGATCAAAACATACTCAAGGATTTTTTCCTCCCATAAGCTTCCTAGATTCTCCAGGACTCTCACCAATTCGAGTATGGATCCTGTGCTTTTAGTAGTACGAGCCCAATACTACCTTCAACACCTATCCATACTTTCCTCAACAATCCTCCCAAATCCTCTAAATAACTTTCTCAAATTGATGCATATCCCAAGCTTTCCTAGGTTCCCAAACTCACCTAGTCCTCAGCCGTTGAAGGATTCCCATTAATATCAACTAGCTACCTCATGAATATAGCCACATGCAACAGAGATCAGATACTCCTTCGAGTAAAAGACTTAATCCTAGAACGGTTGGATTTAAATGAGAGCTACGCAATAGGGCCAAGTCCATCACTCTGAGATTATCCCGCCTGTACCACATGTGACTTAGCATATTCACTTAGTAGCTAGCTCACATTGTTAAGAGTCCCACAAAGCACAAAGCAAGCAGCATCCAGACAATGGGAAAATCTAACCAACACAGACCATCAAGCCATTATATCCTCTTATCAGAAATCTATAGTAGCATGCAATTCTAAAGCTTGTACAATTAGGTATAACCTAAATAAGCCATCCTACCACTGAGTAATCGGTACTAGCATGCAGTTCAATAAGCACATACACTAGGCATACAATGCATCCTTCCTAGATCCTTATCTCTAACCTAGCATGCAGTTCACATATTCCCACATCATATCATAATATAACATATATGGTTTTTCTAGGGAACACTTACTTGAGCTCGTCCGATTGCACGCATCACACTCCTTGTTCTCTTTTTAAAATCCCTTTTATCAAAATGGTTTTCCATTGAAAATTTTCATACCAAGTCCTCAGTTTGAGTTCAAACACACCAGAGAGTGTGCACAAATCCCTCAAACCAAGACTCTGATACCAACTTGTCACATCCTAAAATTCAAGGCCAAAAATTTCATATTTAATTTAAAAATTATAAAACAATTTGTCTGAAAACATCCTTAGTAACAACATATATCAAAACCAATGTACCAATAGTCA